CACATATGCAAAATATATTACTAATAAAAACATGAGCATTCAATAAATAAACAACAACAAAACTAAAAATATTTATATATAAAATCTAAAGTGAACAAATTGAAAAATGTATAAGGAATGAAAACAATCACCAAATGCAAAAATATACGAAAACCGCAAAAAACACACACACTCATGCATATGTACTGTGTGTCCATATGCAAATTTGATAGTCCCAACAAAATTTGTAATTGCAATTTCTGGATATGCAATAGCAAATACAAAAGCTTAACGAATTGTGTAAAAATATAGACAAAAACAAAAATCTAAAATGGAAATAAATTTATGCGCAAGGAGCAGCGCTGGCAACAACCCGCCGGCAAACACAAGTCGCGCATGCGCGCAACAAGCGAAGTGTTAATATAAAAAATATATAACAAATTTTTTGATGGAAAAATACTCATTATTGTTAAACGGTTTAATTATAAAAAAACAAAATCGATTAATAAAAAAATACAAAATACAATTATGGAATTAAAAATATATAATTAAATATACAACAATTATAAAAAAATATAAAAAGCTAAAAAAAAAAATAACAAAAAAAAAAATATATATATATTTCAAAAGAAAAAAAATATGACTATTATATTAAAACATTTTCTCCTTTTAGTAAGTTTAGTTAATTCGTTGTTTTTGAATTATATATTAGTGTTAGCATACATACTTGAATATTTGAAGTAAAAGCATAAAACAATTACATAATAAAGTTTAAAAATTTAAAAACAAAAATCATAAAATACAAAAAAGAAGCATAACAACAAATGTTTATATTAAGATAAACGAAAATAGACAAACAAATATAATTAAATTAATTAATATATAGTATTCATTATTTGTTACAAGTATTTTTTTTTGGCGTAATTGATTGGATAAATGATTTAAATATTGATTGATTGAAAATAACAATGTAATAAATGAATGCAAAAAAATATTGTTTTATTTCGTCTAAAGTTGGTTATCTTGTGAGTATAACTGTTATTTTGTTTTCCAGCCCTTGGCGCAACTTCATATCTGCCAAACAATATATTTATTATATCTTTTATACTAAACCAATTATTTATGTACAAAGTTTTTTAACGGAAATTATTTTCTTGATTTCCTATTGTTAGGAGGATAGCTTATCAGTTTGGAACCGCACTGCCACTGATCACACGAGCACGACACGTATCCGTGACACGCTACGTAGGATATTAAACATACCTCTAACAACAGCAATGGAGTATAAGATACACTGTGATAGCCTTAAATATGTAGCAATGTGAGTATTGATTTTAAATTTTTGTAAAAATAAAATTTCACAAATCGAAAATCGCAAATGTTAGTTCAACGAGGTAAGAGAGATATAAGTACGAAAGGAACCATAATGATCGGTTCGGTGCGCATTTCGGTAACTTCGGAAGTTCCTAGAATATCACTAAGCAGTAAAACAGAATTATTTACCGAGCAAAATACAACTTACAATGATTTCTGTTTCCTTCTGTTTTAACATCCGATTATGTTTATTCTCTAACTTCAGAAGAAACTTTCTTCAAAAAGAAAAAAACAGTATTTAGGGCACACCTAGTGTGACAGCCTAAAAAAGGTGATTTTTGGGAGTAATAGGTAACAAAACTCTTTATCAAGTGTTTTAAAATTGCAAAGAAAAATGTTTGAAGAAGAAAATTAAATATTTTTCCAGTTATACGCGATCGGCGACGGCGCTAAAACAAAGATCTTCGACCGCTGCAGAGATTCCAGCCTACTCCATTGATGAAACCTAAAAACTTAGTCGGGAAGATATTTTCCGTGCAATGACCTACAGTCGAAAAAAATAAAAAATTGACAAAACAGCATTTAAAAAAAATTGGTCTACCCAAATTGTTCGTCGTTTTTGATCTCCGATTAATCCCTGCAACCAAAGTCGAGAAATGCTGTTTAAAAAAAACGCTTTTAATGATAAACTGATAGCGCCGACTAAACTGACGGCTACACATTAAAAGTCTGTAACTGAAAAACTATTTTAAGTGCCAATTTGAAATGTTTGTATGTTCTTTTTATAAGCTACCGATATATGCAAGAATAAAAAAGTTTTTTTTTTGAAATTTCACACTTGGTGTGGCGTTTAATTCGAAAAACCACATCCACCATTTAGAACCCATTTAACTTATTTGATGTTTCAATAGGCAAATCACGCCATCATTAATTCTTTCGAGGTATAGTACCCCAGATATGTAGTCTCTTTTTTTCTTCAAAAATTCCGAAAACAGGCACCCATATATACTATGTTATTAAAAATAGTATTCACCGTTGTTGTTATCAACGTCACAATAGTTCCTCGCATATTTTTGAGGAATACTGCCGAGTTAACTGAGGCGGAAAAAGTTCGGATCTGTTCTGGTTACATGGACCCGACTGCTGTCGAAAAGTAATCTCGAATCATAAGTAGGATATCTCAGTGAAACTGTATATATGTAAAAGCATGTACATAGTATATGTATATGTATATGTATGTATTTTGTGATATCGATCAGAAAATTTTCACACTGCCTCTTCTCCTCAAGAAGTTGCTCATTTGTCGCAACCGCCGATATCGAACCACTATAGCATAGCACTATATAGCATGCCATACAAACTAAACAATCAAATTCATGTCCTTGTATGAAAAACTTTTTTATTTGACAAAATTCCTTCACGAAACTTGGCATAGATTATTTTCCAAGGCAACGCTACAATCCCCTAAACAACTTGTTCAGATTGGAACATCTTTGTAACCAAGGTTAAAAAATTTTCTGTTGCTTTGTATAATATTTTCACTCCTGACTTTTCCTGATCTTTTTGCAATTTACGCGAGTAATTAATATTCGGTTTCGTCCGAAGTTAAACTTCCTTATTTTTGTATAGTTTTTTATATACATATATGTAATATGTAACGCTTATTATTATTGTAATCAAGAAAGTTAACTTCAAAAACGAGTTTTTTTTTAACGAAACTTATGAAATCGAAGGCTAATCATAAACAAAAAATTTAATCATATTTGGCGTGTTATTCATTTAATACCAGCTTACTAATTATTTATTTATTTTCTCTACTTTGCAGTAATAAAGGCCCTCTGAAAAGCTGAAATTCAGTAAACACGTTCAACGCAACAAAAATAAAAACAATTGCAGATGACACAATGCGCCATGTAAACAGCAATGGTAATAACAATAATAATAAGAACAACAACAATGGGCAGAGCCACGATGATAACAGAAGCGGCAACAGTATGGATACCAAGAGCAATATCTATCATAACAATAACAACTATTTATACGATATTAATAATGCTAAAATTACAAACGCCTAGAATATAACAAAATTAAGCATTATCAAAACAATAGCTGCAGCCCGAAACAAACATGCTTATACTATAACGATTTACACATTGGCAAGAACTCTGAAATTATTTATGTTTTTCGAAAATAGCGAATTTAAGCAGGTTCTTAAAAAATATTCGATTGACAAATAGTGCTGCAACACAACAATTGGAGAAGTGGCGGCGTTTCTACTATTATTAATAATAATTATAACGCTGCAACCTCTATTTCAACAACAACCACAAGCCAGAAAATAGCATAAATATCAACAATTCAACCTAGGTTTATGAAATTAATGCTTGCAGGCACGAAATTGTTATTGCCACACAATGTTGCATTATTATTATGATATGTTTATTACTTAAGTGCATACTGTCATCAGGTCGATTTATGAAATCGCTACAATTGTTTTTATATTTAATAACCGACTTTCACTTTATTCTCGCTGAATTTCTTTTTTTTTTTGTTTTTTTTTAATCCAAAAAGTTTGTACCAACATCAACCACACACACAAACATGTTTAGTGATGAATGTGAACACTGTAAGAGTGTTATTCAGATTCCAACGCAATAATAGTATGTCGTTAACTATCTAACGGTAGTTAGAAAATATATACATATAGAAAAATACATACCAGTAAACATACTCAAACAACATTAAATACAAAAAATATTGTATGTAATTTATTGAGAATATTTCCCCACACACCCGAAGAAAAAAATTAAATAAAGAACGAAGGAAGAAAAGTTGTATAAAAATTTAATAAAAAGTTATTAAAGTTGCAAAAAATTAAAGCAGTTAAAAAAATGTTTACGTGTTTTTATTTTTTAAATTTTTTGCGTAAATTTTATCCAGCCAAGCAGTATCAACTCGGCAGAAATCTGCCGCTACAACAACAAAAACATGATGAGCACGAGGATTCACCCAGAGAAGGCAAAATTGGTCACAGGGCGCTACTATGCCAAATTAAAGGTCTGATTCATCGCCGTGTTTAAAAAAGAACGATCCCGTTTGGTGAAGAAAAAGTTGTATCGAATTAGGCTACGACCTGCTGCCCCATCTAACGTTTTCTCTAGATTTTGCCCCTTTCGACTTCTATTTGTCTTTAAACTTGAAAAATTTACACGCCGGATAGAAGTTTGAGTCGAATTTGAAATTGTCACACCACAAGAGGTATACGTTGCACTCACGACAGTCGGGTCTACGTAACCGGAACGGACACGGATTTTAAACGGCCAAGGACTGTCAACTCGGCAGAATTCTGCCGCTACAACAGCAACAACAACAGGTATACGTTGCCCAACAATCGGCTGTTCTCACAACCGTCACGTCTACATATCCGAACCGGCCACGAATTTTTATTCGTCCAAGAACTGTCAACTCGGCAGCATTCCTCGAAATTACTTCAGTTATGATTTTTGGAGCTACAACAATAATAACAACGTACATAAAACGTTTTATTTCTATACACGAAACATCCCTGTTTCAAGGGTGGCGAACTAAAAGGAGACTTTTTTAAGAAGTAGGTCTCAATTTATCCCAAATTGTTACTTCGCTTTTGTAGGTTAAGTACATTTCGAAGCGCTCTCGTATCTTCATAGTGTAAATTAAAACAATTCTCGCACTTTTTACTTATTACTTTTATTCCCTATGAATGTGTTCGTATGGTTATTAACAGTACATATATATGTTTGTGGTGAAAAAAAAAATGTGTAAAGCATAATAGTTCTCTGAAAATTAATTGAAATCGTTACTTGTCATCAAAGACGCTCAAATCAAACAGGTAAACGTTTGAAATCAAACAATCGCCTTCCTAAATAACAAAGAAAGCATAAATAAGAAAAGTTTAAATAAAATATAACTTTAAAGGTATACCGCTGGGGTTATGCCCACCAAGGCATCGGCGTGTCCATAGAACTCCTCCTTCAGCGAAATGACAATTGTCTGTAAATTATTTGTGTGGTCGCGTATATAGGAAGCGACCTTGCCTATATTGGTGTTATCCAGCGCTGCATCAATTTCGTCCAGCACAAAGAACGGTGCCGGTTGATAGCTGTCAAGAATAAATTGTAGAGAATAAACAATTATAACAATAATATAATACCTATGTATGGAGAAAAGCAAAGCTAAGGCAGCAATGGTCTTTTCGCCACCACTTAAATTGCTCATCGGCTGGAAACGTTTACCCGGCGCCACACAATTATAATTGATACCATCCAAGTATGGTTCTTCTGGATTATCCGGTCCGAGATATGCCTGCGCCGCTTCATTACGCGCTAAACTTTTGTAGATACCATCAATAGCATCGGATATGTGATTGCAGCATTGGATGAATTTCTCGGAACGCTCATTCTTCACCTTTTCAAAAGCAGATTTTGCCTTTTTCGCTTTGCGGCGTGCATTTTCGAATTCCTCATTGGTCGACTGTATTTTCTCTGTGACGAGTGATAACTTCTGCATGGCTTTCATATTCGGTGTTTGTATGCGCTCAAGTATATCCAATTTCGATTGTAGATCCTTTTGCAATGTGTCGTTCATTTTTTTAAAGGAGGAGTCATCTTTCAGCTTACAAATTTCACGCGGTAAACTGCTATAATTGACTTCGATTCTGTAAATGTAGAATAATTATAGTAATTCGTGTCTCATAGTGAAATATATTGATATGATTACTGATTTTCACGTTCTAAAATAAGCGAAGTAGAAGTGGTATTCGTTTCAGAGTCGCCTTGACGCACGGCATCGTCGAGCGAACCTTTGAGTAGCGGTATAGCAATACAATCCATCTGCAGAGAGAAAACTGTCAATTCCAGCGTAACTGTCAATTAAGCATTTCACAAACCTTCGCCTGCATTAAAATGTTGTGACGCTCGTTCTTCTTCGTTTCGATTTTTGCCTCAATCGCTGAAATCTGGCTGCCTAAGTTGTGTATTTCCTTTGCCAAATTGGAAACCTCGCGCCTGGCTTTGGATATATCTTCTTCCATGTCATCAGCTGCTTGCTTTTTGGCCTGTTTGCCCTGCTTCAGCTTCTCCATTTTATCTTTATCCTCGTCGATTTCCTTGAGGTAACGTTTTTCGGCTGCTTTCAAACCCTCCAACGCATCTTCTTCATCCTGCACACCACGCTCCCAACGTTCCAAATTTCCTGCAATGATTTCGATATATTAAATATAGTTATTTTACACTTAATTTGCACTGCATAAAGGCTCTACTTACTTTTAGTGTCCTTTTGCTTCTCAAAATCTAATTGCGTATTGATAGCATCGATTTGTTGTTCGAATTCAGCACGTTTTCGCGCACGCTCCTGCTGCATAACAAGTTCGCGCTCTTCATACTGGCGTATATTCTTCACGCCCAAACGTTTGCAGAACGAAGCGAATACCTTGTCCTCAACATTATTCATATTCTCTTTAATCTCTTGAATATGTTCTTCGCGCTTCGTCATACGCCGTTCAATCTCACTGATCTTAGGCTGCAAAAGGTGTCAATATTATTCACATGTAAAACTAATAAGAGATGTCCAGGAAAATCTTACGCCAAATTCATCCAATTGACTTTGCACCATCTTGAGTTGATTATCGAATTGCTGTATCGACTTTTTCGATGATTCCAAATCCACCATACTGTACTTTAGTCGATTCTCCAAACCCTTTTATTCAGTATTTTTTTTAATCTAATTTTGTTGCTAATATTTATTTAAAATTCACAATTTCTTTACCTTAATTTGCGACTCAACGGTAGCCAGTTCACTTTGCTTGCGCGATTTCTTCACCAGCTCTTTTAACTCCTCGTTTAGTTTGTCTTTTTCCATTTTCAATTGTGCCATATGTTTCTCATCCCAACGTTTGGCTTTGCGCGCCAAATCATGACTACCACCAGAAAGAATACCAGACTTCTGGTAGAAGGTACCGTCCAAGGCGAGCGCGTCATAGCGTGTACGATCAATTTCATAAGCCACTTTCATAGCATCCTCAGGTGTCTCGCACACCAACGCATTATTCGTAGCGAAGAGGACAGCACGCTCTATTTCAGGTGGTTCGAATTTGAGTACATCGAAAACGAGTTTAACGTTGCGTGGTTCAGAAATGTTTCTACAGAAAGACGATAAGCATATTAGTTTATACAAAAAATTTATAAAGTATTTTATTAATACCGTAAACGCTCTTTGAGAGGCTTCACTTGCAAGTAATCTAACGGTAGAAATGTTTCCACTTCCAGCATTTCCTCTTTCAATATCTACGCACAAAAAGAAATTATTATCAGAGGGGAAAAATACGCAAGTCGAACGCACCTGTATGCAATGTCTTGCGGTCTTTTCGGTATCCACAATAATTGCCTCCATATATTTGCCCAACACCTTTGTGACTGCAACATTGTAGCGTTTGTGTGTGGGTTGACACATGTTTATCATGCGATCATACTAAAGCATATATAGAATTATACAGTTAGATATTAATATGGGTGTAACATGTGGATCTACTAACTCACCACTCCCGGCACCTGCTTCTTGAACAACTCAACAACTTGCTGCTTCTTTTTGCGGTGCGCATCCTCGTGCTTGTCACTCTTTGCATCGCCTAGCTGATCGCGCACGTTTTCCAGCTCTCGTTGCTTTTCAGCTATCTTTTCTTTGGAGCAACCCACATCACGTCGCAGTTCATCTTTAATGCGATTTTGCTCCTCCAATGCCGCTTGTGATGACTTTATGTGATCCATTAGCTTGTCTCGTCGTTTCACTGCTTCTTCGCGTTGTAATGTCAACTTTTTTAGGGACTCTTCAACAGATGCCTTACGATTGGCTTCTCCGTCTAACATATCCTGATCCGATTTTTGTTCACGATTTACAGAATCTAATTGCGACCGATATTGTGTAGCTGTGGCTTCAGCTTGCTGTTTGAGACGATCGTACTCTTGCACCAAGCCTTCCTCCATTGTCACGCTTTTACCACGACGCTGAGACTCATTTTCCAGATCATCCTCATAACGTTTTTTTAATGCTTCCACTTCCGCTAGCTGTTTTTCCAATTTGCGTATGTCTTGTTGATGTGCATTATCCGCCTCTCGCGCAGTTTCAAGTGTTTTCTGCAGCGATGCCAACTTTTTCTGACAATGTGCCACCTTCTCCTTTGCTTTAATGTACAATGGGCGTTTTTTATTCATTTGCGTTTCAAATTCACGTATTTCTTGCTCAATTTTAGCCAAATCACGTGAGAACTTGCCCGCATCTTTTTTCTTCTCACGTAAAACCTCATCGGCTTGCTCTTTGCGTACTTCAACGGCTTTAACATCCTGTTGTTTTGAGTCTAAATCTTGATTAAGTTTTTTAATGTCGTTCTCAACGTGAAACAGACGAAATAGTTGGTACTCCACTTGCTTCTCATTCTGAAATTTAAATAAAGACATTGTCAAATAAAAAAAAAAATATTAAAAATCATTCTTAACTCACATATTCATTTTTTAATCGTGCATAACGTTCAGCTTCCATTTTTTCATGTTTTGCTTCTTTGCGCTCTGCTGCCATACCCTTCTTTTTTTGATATGTAAATTGAGTTTCTTCTTCTGCCAAATTCATTTCTTGCTTTAAACGATTGTAATCTTCCTTAAGCAAACCAGAGCTAAAATGCCCATAAAAATAATAATATTAATTATCTTGCTTATGTGAATTATTAATTACAATACCCGCTAATCTCCTCAAATAATGCTGTACGTTCTTTCGGTGTTTTCATTGCAATATTTTCGACAGCGCCTTGGAAAACCAAAAAATTTTTCGCTTTAACGTTTATACCCATTTTTTCCAAAGTACATAAATAAACACTGCTCGACACGTTCTACAGTAAAGAACATTTGAGAATATTATTTTATAGCTATCAGCTTTAGAATTGAAATATCAATGTACCTCTCCGTTAATACGATATTCAGATGATCCGCCAATAACTGCACGCTGAAAATCCATTTGCTTCTCATCGTTAATGAGAAATTTAGCAGTTACGTAGCAACTACGCGAAACTGGCTTACCAATAGATGATCCATGAATTAGATCATTAAGACGCTTCACACGTAAACTGGAAGTCTTTTCTCCCATAACAAAACTGATTGCGTCCATAAAGTTAGATTTTCCTATTCATGAAATTTTTCAAATTACTAAAATTCATTTAACGTATTATCGAAAATTAGTGCTTCACCTGAGCCATTAGGTCCGATAACTGCAGTGAACTTCTTAAGTGGGCCAACAATTACATGTCCGCGATACGACTTAAAATTTTCCATTTCTATATACTGCAGAAAATATACATCATCTTTTGGCGCCGAGGTGGAGGCCTCTGCTGCCAGTTCTTCTTCGGTCATCTCAGATTTGTTCTCGCAAATTTTCTAATTACTTATTTTGATTTTATAAATATGATATAAATGAAACTAATTACAAACAATTAAATATTTTTTTACCATGAAGGAAAAAGACGCGCTGTTTTATACTTTTCCTTATTCTCTTTTTTTGACATTTATTCGGACATTCTGTCTATCGTGAACAGTTTATATTAATGCCGCCATTAATTAAAAAAAACGGTGTATTTGTTATACTTAAAATAGGTAAACAAAGATTTTCTTGTTCAAAGTATTTATTTCACAAAAATTAAATGTAATCTATATATGTTGAAGCCATTGTAAATCTTTTGCGACTTCTTCGCCCTTTTCCGATTTTTTCTTCTTCTTTGGAATTCCCGCTGTCGATTGTCCTTCCACTCTTGTGCTATCGTTTCGCTTTCGTTTGTTTTCTATTTTCTTTGGCTTTACTTCACCGAGGAATTGAACGTCGTCGTCATCCGTCAAATGATTTTCATTTACAGGAGAAATCTGTTTGGATTTTTGCTTCTGACTAGACAACTTGATATTTTGAGATTTCACACTTTTCCTATTTGTAACCGCCTCATACGTTAATTTCGCCGACATCTCATCTGCCTTTTTCAACCGTTCTGCTATGGATTTGTTTATTCGTAATCTTTTGTCGAATTGGTGGCCATGCAAAGGATGACGAACCTTAATCATGTCAGGAAATGGAACGCGACTTTGAGGCGGGCATAAAGCTTCGGCATTTTCTAATGTCACCGCTTCAGACGCTTTCAAGCGATCACGAAGTAAAATGCTTCCTTTTACTGGGAGTAGTCGCAGGGAATAACGACCTTTGCGATTGCAGTAGCCAAATGCACGTGTCTCTGGTTCGGCATATTCTACTGCTACTGCTTCAGTTGAGGTAAAATTGGTACGACCAGGGAGCTTTAATTTTTGACTTTGCAAATTTTCTTCTATATTATATCCTTTCGGACATTGCAGGACCCAAATCTCATCTTCGATTTCAGTGATGTCTTGAAATTGACCGATTGTGGTTAATTCAGTGCTTGCTTTTATTTCTTTGTACTGCAAATTATCCTCAAGAAAACGCTGTTTTAGGCTTATAGTTTCCATTTCAATGGACTATCCACTACGTTTTCAGTTAAATATTTTAATTTAAAAATAATTTTTCTCTTTACCAAAACAACTTCACGTGTACAATGTTTTTGGTAGAAATATGCCAAAATCAGATGTTGTAGAGAAACTATTCACAATAGTTTCTAAACGCAAATAGAATAAGCTAATACTGAAAACAGAAATCTGACTATTTCAGTTTTATTATAAAAATAAAACAGTTTAACCTCCTTAAAAATGTATCTTATAATAAGTCCTATTATTTTTGATCTATTAATTGTTGTTTGTTCTAACAACGAATATGTAAATAAACCAATTTTCGATGGTGTTAAGAAAAAAATTTTGTCACAAAATGTCCGCGATGCTTATAATAGATAAAGTACTTAAACCCTTACCACATAAAATGGAAAATCATATTAAATTTATATCTTCAAATTTTTTACGTTATTAAAATATATATGGTATATACATATTATTACATGACGGAATTCGAACTTTGGCAATCATATCTAAAGTCAACAAACGTCAAAAAATTGTGTACGTGTTGATGAAACGCAAACGACGTAATAACAAATTGAAGAAATCTCAAAAGCATCAGAAACGAGTACAAAGACAAGAAAGAAATTTTCAATTAATTTTTGGTTTTTTGAAAAATTTTGCATTATAATTTATATTTTGTTAATCGTGTACCCAAAACTGGAAATATTTATGCACAAGCCAAAACGTTCAGAATTATTGTAAGTAAATACATACAGAAATTTCATTATCAGGTAGTGAAAAAACGAAGGTGATGATAATCATTGTAACATACAACATATTTTGAAAACTATGATTTGCTTGATTGCTAGTATTCGCTTTAATCGAACTTAGTTGCGGAGAATATATAAATGATATAAACTATAATGGAAACTCAGCGTAGATCACTTGAGAAAAAATAATTATTTTATCAATATATTATATCTCTACTTTTTATATTTAAAAGTTTTTTTTCTTGTTTTGCAGTTTTTGATGGTAAAAATATAGTTGTAAGACTGCAGTTATTGCTAAATAAAAAAATATAGTAAAATATATAGATATCCTCCGAAAACCGAATTTGTTTACGTAACCTATTCTTCCAAAACATGAACTTATCATCATCTTCCAATCGTGACATGTCTCGGGCAGACTCCCAAACACCACCATCAAGTGCTAGAAATAAAAGTAAAGGACAACTCAATGACACATCACTAGGTGGCAGTAGCATATATGACAGCGCCTTGGAGAATCTCACCGCGTATACATCTTTTGACGGTAGCTATTAAATTTTAATATTTATAATTATTTGATTAACATAAGACTTACTTCTGTATGCTTTGCATATCCTTTTTCAGAAAGTGCCAATGACAATTCACATCTTAACGTATCCACCGATTCAACATTAAACGGCAGCGATTCACTTCGATATAACACAACCACCGGATCATGCAGTTCTACTGCCACTCGTGATTTGAATAAAAACATTAGCGCCAGTGTGCTGTTAATACAGTCGGAGAGCACAGAGACAAATACATCACAAGAAGAAGTTGATCCAAAATCCCAACTAGCAAATAAGACAATATTTAAAACGGATAATCCAGATTTGTCAATTATAGAAATAAGTGATAATTCAATTAAAGAACAGGAAGCTGGAAATTCCTTTTTCCTAATAGAATCTAATGATGGCAGTGTTGGTGGGGCGAAACAAAAGATTTCTCCTTTAAAAACTGCCGAATCTTCGGAGAATCGTCGTAAAAAAGCTGAAACACTCATTCAATCCAGTAAACAAAAACTAAACGTAGAAGTAGCTGAGGCATTTGCTGCTGAATCCAAAGCGGCTAGTGGTGATACAAATGCCATTGATGACGCGGTGCCCCAAGAAACACGGCCCGCCACCAAGCGTGAAATAAAAATATACGATACCATAGAAGAGTTCGAAAAGAATTTGCCGTCGACGGTAACAGTGCTGGACACACCGTTCGGAAGCAGAGTTTATTTGGTGGGCACAGCTCACTTCAGTGAGGAGTCGCAAGATGATGTCTCTTATGTGAGTAGAAGCAGTAATCTGAAAGGGCGATAACAAACATAAACTATATACATATATTAATTTTAGGTTATACGTAATGTCCGTCCAGATGTGGTAATGGTTGAACTCTGTCCGTCACGTGTACATATATTGAAACTTGACGAAAAAACACTGTTAGAGGAAGCTAAAAACTTCAATTTCGCTAAGGTAATTTTACGTTATCTTACAAGATATACTCCAAAAATATAAAAACAATAAATATATCAAACGAACAGATACGTAGCATTATACAGACACACGGCTACATTAACGGCGTTTTCTTCATCCTATTATTGCAAATGAGTGCACAAATTGCCAAGGACTTGGGCATGGCGCCGGGCGGCGAATTTCGACGGGCATTCGAAGAAATACACAAAATTTCCGGTTGTATGCTTCATCTCGGCGACCGACCTATACGCATCACCTTACATCGGGCGCTGCGCGCACTCACTTTATGGCAGACAATGAAATTGGTATGGCGCCTCACATCCACCGACACCATAAGCATCGAAGAGGTGGAAGAATGTAAACAACGCGATTTGCTCGAAAAGCTGATGCAAGAGATGGCTGGAGAATTTCCAGAGTTCTCGGAAGTATTTGTAAAGGAGCGTGATATATTTCTTTGCCATTCCTTGCAGCTGGCAGCTTTACCACAAATGCCAACCGATGGCTCCGGTATACCACGCCCAGTGCGCGTTGTTGGCGTTGTAGGTGAGTGCATCTAAATTTAGAGCTTATTTATGTAAGAACTATATAATTTCATTCTACCGCTAGGTATTGGACATGCTAATGGCATTGCGGAAAAATGGGGAAAAGTAGACCCATCGTGCATACCAGAGATCATGAAAATACCACCCAGCCGCTTAAGTACACGCCTTGCTTGGTATTCATTTCAAGCTTCACTTTACAGTCTCCTACTGTACCAAGGGTATAGGATTTTAAAGCCATGCTTAAAACGTTTATTTTAATTGCTTTTCAAAGTGATGATAACTGCTGTGTGAAAATCATTATCGATTATATATATATGTATATATATATTTACATATACCTATGTACATAAATGGTATAACGGCATCAAATTAATTGGAAAGCACCATCTTATGTGTTGCCCACGCAATTATGTCAATGATCAGAAAGAAAGAATTGATGTTTTAAGTTAAAATTAACATATTTATGTAAGATACGGTGAACTTTCAGCTGTGTGATCGTTTGCATACCTATGTATGTGCTACATACAAAGCATAGAAACAGTTCCATATAAATATTTTCATTTAATTTAATTAAATCGCACAATGCAGTAACAGGATAATAAAAAATTAAAGGTTTTCAAAGGCCGCATAACCGTTATTGAGCCGCATTAAAAATAGTAAAACATTCGTTCAAAAGTATATATAAAACATATGTTGTACAGAAATGCTAAAAAAATGTGTGATTGAAACTATCAAAATTAAAATACATAAAATAAGTGCAGAAACTAAGCAAAAAAAAAAAATATATAAAGGGGAATAATCAAAAAAAAAAAAGAACACAAATACTTGCTAACTGTAGATTTCGAAATGCATCCGCAGATCAATAATTTTTAGATGTGCCCCAGGCAAATTGATATTTACGCCATGTGTATAAATAACCAAAACAAAAAAAAACAAAATTGCAAGGCCAGTTAGTCTCGGTTTTACAAAACATTGCATCTATCAGTCCAACATTCCCAGTAGTAAAATGTATTATCGTTTAATTTTCCAAACACGCCGGAAATTTTAAAGATCACATTTTAAAATCAATGTAGACCCTAGAATATAACATATACCTATATGTATGTATTTATTTTTCTTTTGTGTAGTTTTAAACTGTTGTATAAGCATAGATGTACGCTTGTCTGTATTCTGTATTGTAAAAATGTATAAATACAAACCGATACAAAAGCACATATATATGTACATATGTCATAAAATATTGCTAAAGTGATTTATTTATTTTTTGAAGTGTTTTATCACGATACCGTGCATTAGTATTTTTCGTGCAATATATAAATTAGTTGTGCAAAAGTGAAACACGTTTGTTATAAGCTATATTTGTTTACATTTATTCAAATATTGTTTGGTGAAATTTAATAATTTTAAGCTTGCTAGAAAAAAAAATACATGAAATCATTTAAATTAAAAGTATTCTGCCAGAGTTTTGAGTACGTAGGTCGGTCGGTACTTGCAAATTAACTCACTATTTTTATCTCGCCGAACGTTCTAAGCTTCAAACACCAATGAGCCAGATGCATAGCTAACACTGGAATCGTCCATATCCTTGCACTGACTGCTCTGGGCATACTTGAGAAATTTAAAACTCATATTACTGTAGCCTTGATTTTGTAACGCTTTTACAGAATTTAACATCACACCGATTGGATGACGGCCACAAATTGTATTGTTGTTTTTGCGTAGATACTCAGTGAATGCACCCGGATTTAAGGTTTCAATGATGGCCATACCCTGTTAAGAGAAATTGACTTATTACAAATAATTCACTGCCTTCTCTTGTTATTCTATTTACATACATCCTTGTCAAGCTTCTCAATAGATGAGTAAATTTGACCACACGACCGATCGTAATATGTGTAATTGAAGCGATGTCCCCAATGGCAGAAATCGGATGATATCACGAAGAGGTTTTGTGGATCCGTAAAATAGTTTGCTAAAAGATCACCATATAAAGCTTCCTGATCGGGATTCAAAGAACCGACTAAAATTGGCACGATCGTGAACTGATCTTTAAAACTGAAATGATAGTGTAAAATGTTATCGCTATTATTTAAATAAAAAAACAAGAAAACACGTTAACTTCGGTTGCACCGAATAATACCCTTGACAAATAATGATCTGTTGTTGTTGTTGTAGCGGCAGAATTCTGCCGAGTTGACAGTCCTTGGCCGGAATAAACCCGGGTCCGTTTCGGTTACGTAGACTGCCGACTGTCGTGGGAACGGAATAATGATCGGTCAACATAAATAATGTTCGGTCAACTTAAATGGCTATATGCCACAGTGGTCCGATCTTTGTCGTAGGAACCTCATTTTTATCGTTCCGTTTGTATGATAGCTAAAAAAAAATTTCGGAGATTGTGCCGTTGCCTGGCGCAATAATCCATGTCAAATTTCGTAAGATGTTTTGTTAAATAAAAAAAGTTCCGTACAAGGACTTCAGTTTTATCGTTCATTTCCTATGGCACCTAAATGCTATGGTGGTCCGAAAACGGCGGTTCCGGCAAATTAGTAGAAAATAAAGTGTGCGAAATTTCAGATAGACAGACAGACATAGTGAAATCGACTCAGCTCGCCATGCTGATCAATTATATATATATTTTATAGGGTCTGCGTCGTTTTCTTAGTATACCCTTTTTAGGGTATAAAAATACTAAATAATTGAATTTCACATTCGCTTCATAAAATTAATGTTTGGAAAAATAGTACAGTATAATTATATTTTATGGAAAATGTTCCTAATAAACTTACTCCTCCATTACTTTTGCTATATATGGCAAATGCATTTCAATGCTATGTTCATCTTCATCTGTTTTCATGTCCATCCACGAAAAATGCCCAGTCTTTTCCAATTCTGCGTTGACTATAGGTAAAAAAAAATAGAATGAATCTTTTTACTAAATGCTACACACCGAAATATGAACTAACTTACTTTGAGTATCAATCTTGAGATCATAGAGTGGAGTTTTGTATACCTTAGCTGTGGACAAAGCACAGCCGCGCAGGCGTACATGATGTGATGGACCTAATATGAAAATTCGTTTCCTAAGCAATTATAAATGAGACCTATTAATCACTATTATCGCCATAGAAGTTAAGCAAACTTACACAACGGCGGGACTGACTTGACGATAGGCGAAGGCACCACAAGCACCACAGTAGGTATAGCCTGCATGTCTACGATTATATTCAAAATTTATTAAATATATATGAATTTAGTTATTTATTTTTTTTTTTTACTTACGGCGCAATAATTGCACGAGCTGGTCCATGAGAAAGTTCTGCAGCACCCAGCCAGCGATCCAGCTGACGTGACAGCTCAGAACCTGTAAAATTCAAATTCAAAAAACAATATTGGTTCAAAATAACTGCTTACTCAGACATAGTTTTTTCATGTAAAAAGTAACCAGGTAACAAATGTTTACTTTGCTTAGCAACATGTTAGTTTATTTCTTATTTTATTATTGAAAATGAAATTAAAAATATATTTTTTGCATGAAATTTATTGAGAAAAAATAATCAAGAATTATTCAATCTACTAAATACAAAAAAGAAAAATGACTGATAGCGACAGCTCTAATGTACTTTACGATATTATACGGAAGGAATTAAATTCAATTATTAATGAAAATAGGTAAAATTATTGAGAAGCGCATTCGCCGCGCATATACAATAAATTTATTTTAACTTCATTTTAGTGTTTTACAAACAAATAATGATTCTAAGAAGTCTATAAAATTGGATAGTAATGAAGGCACACTTTCACAGCTACATAAGTCCGCGAAAGCTGTGGCTGAAGGTGGTAACATCACGAAGACACCTACTTCCGCGGAACATCTGTCAACTATGATTTCAAACAAAATTTTGCAACTACCTTCCAATGAAACTCAAAGTGCAAGTATTGACACCGACCTACAAAAGATGCGTTACGATTTACAACAAAGCTATGAGCTTTTTCAAGCAATGGGCGAACGATTCCAAGCTATCAATTTTAGTTCACTTAAAAATCGCATTAAAGATATGAATCTTAGTAAACAAGATGGCACAGCAAAGTTAAAGGAAGAAATGAAGGATGTACTAGAAAAACATTACAATAATAATACACTGAATAGTTTGACAGCAGAAATGGCTGAAAAATTCCAAAATCATCCTGGCGAATTCGGAAATATACCGGAATTGAGTGAATTTTTCCAAACTTGCTCGCAATTACAACATGGTTTAGAGCAACTGAAACGCCAACGAAATTCCGTTAGTGAAATGACAAAACGTCTTTCCAATGCTACAGAAGCCTCATATGCACGTATAGATCATATTTACAACATAATGAATTCTACACATCCAGGACAGAACCTCACAAAATATCAACAAGATTCTTAGTTTAAGTCAGGTTGGTTTACTCGTATGCTTAGTTCCAAAATTTTAGTTAATGTAAACTAATTATTTATTTAAGGTTTGGAAAAGTACCACATACGTAGATTGAACAAATATGTTTGCATTCGGCCTTCTATAAGTATATGTAAATGTATGTACATACTTTACTGGAATATTTTCATTTGCCCCATGCATTGTTTCACTTATCAGATTCACGTAAATGCAAGTTTTGTCATATTAATGAGCCCATAAATATATATGTTTCCGAGCAATCAATACGAAACTGACTCATCTTCTTAGCAATTAGACATCTATAAAACTGATTATTTTGCTGATAGCATACGCCAATAAAAAAGATTCCCTCAATGTTTACCTAAGTTTGTGTACCAGCTTCCAGAATGGGTTGCTTTTCTGACTGTAGACATTCTTATATTTCTTTTACTATATATTTACACGTATATCAATTTATTTTTTTAAATAATAGTTGACAGATAATTAAGCGCTTTTAAAGAATTTCTCTGTATGAGTTGCACAGTCAAATGTGAAATTTTAATAACAATTTATTTTCATTGTCTTTTTGACAAAAGGGACAACCGATTGCAGTGGACGTATTCACAAAAAAAATACCATTCACAATTAAGAGTTTTAAAAATAATATAATAACTTTTCAAACATATTTATAAAAACGCAATATTATGTGTGGAAATGTTTTATGTTTAAATTTTTATTTAATATCGTTAGTTATTCTAACAAATTCATCTATATGTATTGCAAATGCATTGCTTGTTTGCCCATATATGCAATAACGGTGAATAACGTATGTACGTTAAAAATTCAGCTAGTTTGCAATATATTTAAATTTAAAATAAAAAGTGATATTAAAAATAATTAATTGTGTTTATTTCGAGTAGTATTAATGACTGAAGTCAGAGGTATAATTAAATTTAAAAAAAAGTACAAAATTGCCTTCCGAGGTGTATGTGAACAAACTCCTGAATGCAGCCCTGGTTAACTGAAATGCCGCATGGCAGCGTGTACTAAAATTATTCGCAGTTTGATAGAATTCGCTACAGTTCGATAGTTGCTTATGATCACAGTTCTTGGTGTGTACTGCATTTTTTCTATATATTATCTTAATAATAAATTGAATTCCTCGTGATACACTGGTAAAAAAAAGGTGTGTGCATATTTTTAAGTGTTTTCAAATTAAGTTTGCTGAAAAGTACAAATTTGTTGTAAAAAGCATTCGTGAGTACGCTTCGAACTAGTGAAAACTGAAAATCGGCAACAGCAACGAGTCAACTGTCATTGTGGCGATTCAGTTTTCATTCGTTCGCGTATGAGGTTTGTGCGAAATGCACTATCGCGTCATTTATGTACTAAAATTGAAGATAACAGGAAGAAGCATAGACAGCAAAAAGAATCGCCGTGTTCTCCACCATTTTCCGCCATTTTGAAAGCTACGAGTGTAAAATTTAGTGATTCGTCAGGAAACGCGTTGCTTATAAAAATTGCGAAAATTTGCTAAAAAACATACATAAAGTAAATAAAATAAGTGTAAATTGTTAGTGGAACAGCCAAGAAAGTGTTTGTGAATAAAAAGTAGTTGTTTAAACATTGTGTTTGCTCGATTTGATCGAGGAAAATTTTATGTTCTGTACAAGCGAAAAGGGCTAACCAACGCAGAAAAAAAGCAAGCCTACTACAAGTGAGCGAGTAGCACCACAAAATCCACGGTCTGCCGCCGCGGCTATAAACTTAAAAAGGCAATACTTTAAAAAATATGGTTTATAACTTATTATAAAATTAAAGTTTGTTGACGTGCCTATCGCAGGAAATAAAATTGAAAGTTGTCGCACAGTCTTAGTTCGTTTCGTTCCCAGACCTTGTCAACGTCGCAGAACACATTTAAGTCGGTCAATACATACATAGTGACCATTCAACAAATCGTTCGTGAATTTTGTCCCTTTAAAATAGTGAAAACTATCAATGGTAAGCTTTGCTTAGTAGTCAAAATTTTATTTGTAGATATGTGGGATGATTAATACAAAACAGGAGTGCTTTTTGTTTTAGATTTGGAAAATATTTTTTTGTGCTGCGAAAGTCCCTACTTATAAAATAAAACAATTTATAATCATACGTACGCGTGTTGTTGAGTAAAGACAATAAATTTAAGTTTTTCTGGACAAGCTGTTGGTCAAAGGTTTTGCACCAGCCATAAGCCGCCTCCTATTCACACTTGCACGCCGTGCAGAAAAAGAAAGTAACGAGTTGTAAAGTGAAATAGAAAAATAAAAAAAGTGATCGTTTTAACGAGTGTAGATGGCGCGAGCGAATAACTAGTGCAAGTATGGCGGCGAATATTGTTGACACATTTTGAAAATTTTTTTATGCTATTACTGCTCTAAAATAACATATAAATGACTAAAGCAACAAACACCACTGACCTAAACTTTTTTCGTTTATAAAATGTATTTATTCAATGAAAATTGTGTCTACAGTGTTGTGATCTTTGTATGATTGATTTTTCAATTCATGGTTTTTTGTTTTGTGTTTGGCAGGTTCGTTTGTCAACCAACATTTTGTTGTTCGCATTTTTTATGAATTGTATCGTCTGCTTAATAATCAAACCATATACAGACAGTTATTTGACGTTTTTATTTTATGAGGAAAATGCAAATAGAAATTTTGTTATCTAAATCTTGAAAGAATGAAAGTACAAAGGAAATACATAATGTATACACAGAACAAATTACAAAAAAATATCAATAAAAATGCGGTATGTAATATGTTGACCAAAGCATTTGTAACAATATTTTTTTGTTCGTTTTAAATTAAAAATAGATATTTTCACATTTTCTAGAAAATTTGACAGTATTTGAGTTTTTGTGAATGTAGTAGAAAACGTTAATATAAAAATGTCAAACCTACATACAAATCTCCATGCAGAACTAGTGTGAACATGCGTTTTGCATATTTGATACATGCCCGTATACTCAAGTCTATCAAAATATTTGTATGGTCAGCAAATTAATTGGAATTAACATGAATTCTTAGTATCAAATCCGCATATGTTATATATATGTTTATTGTACAGTAATATTATTCCCACCATAAAAGAGTTTATTGAGCTGCATTTTTTTTCTTCTGAATATATACATATACTATATATAATGTAATATAAAATATATGGCATTAACATGGTGTCAACTTTATTAAATATTTTGAAATATGCATATATAAAAATGTTTGAGAAAAATGGTGACTAGGAAAATTCAATATTACATAGCTGCATAAATACGAGCACACAATTATTTTATGTTGTGTGGCTTTTGTACCTTCATCATTTATACGTATATATAATATACTATATTTTAAATTTTTTATAAGGACTTCTATGACTATTAAATATTTATATATATAAATGAGTATTTAAATGTGTTTCTATGAAACTGAGAAAACCCGGGGTGGTCGCATAAGAAACAGGTAGATATTTGGTATACATATGTTCTTAAAAATATACTTAACTTGGTATAAAATATCTATTGGTAATAGATATTGATATTACATGTCGCATTTGTCTAAAAGCAATTCTTGACGTTATGCTGATTGCCACCTACGCAACCCTAAGCTATTTTATATTGAACATATAAAAAACAAAAATAAAAGAAACTTTTTGCATATGAGTGCAATGAACAAGTATTAAAAATTGACAGGCATATTACAGAGAAGTTATAAAACCAACTGCTGCATGTGTATGTATGTATACACATTTGCCATTTGTAAATATACATTTATTTTAGCGGGTTGTCCGAACAACGCACAATGCATCCGCCATTAAGTTACTTCAATTTCCCCACTGACCTGTCTGACTTACGGTCATTCAATTACGAGCACGCACACTATTCCCTTGTCATTGAGACGAAAAGAGGTTTATCTGTCGTTGCATACAGCACGTTTTGTGGAGTCACATGTTTTTGTGGCTTAAGTTGCCGATAGCGACGTGAAGTTCGTTACATTTGACAAACGTAGCAAGAGCAGTTGTGAAAATGCAACCAGTTCTTTGTAATAGCTTTTGTGGATGGTTTTGCATAAATTGTTGCATTTCAGTGTGACTAACAAAATACAGCGTTAAACGTTTCTAACATAGTAACAAATTAACTCGTAACGACGTTTATTTCTAGGGGTTTACTATTGGATTCCACATAGGCTAAGTTCTGGTATATCAGTCAGACACACATTATACCCATTTAAATATTATTTTTCGCAGTTCAAATCGTCAAATACAATTATTCTTTTTTTTTATTATTAATAAAATTTCAAAAAAAAAAAAAATATATTTAAATCAACAACTCTCGTCTTAAAATATTAACAAAATTATAAATATTATTTACGTTATTTCAGTGCCAATTTACTATTGAAGTTACGTAACGTATTTACGTTATTTCAGTGCCAATTTACTATTGAAGTTAAGGATTTAAATTTAAATTTTTATGATGCATATGTTTTACTAAGCCCAACGTATAATCGTATTTTATTGAGGAAGACTGGCGAAACGAGCAATCAAACAGGCAGGCAGTCAGGCAGACAACTATCTTTTTGACTTTATGGCAGTGCTAAGTGAAAAGAGAGTTAGAAAATAGCCTACGTATATTCTTTGTTTGCTCCGTTTATACACATAAGCAGCATGAGAGGGAAAGGTACAACTTTATAAATACCAATCTTTATAGGGTTATTTTTTCATTTCAGTTTTTAGTTTTTGTTTTTCCAAAGAATTAATGTGAACCGAAACCGGTTTTTTGCATTTGTAGAATGTCAATTGTGTTGCTACATAGCTTAACTTACTGATAATCATTCCATTGGATGGAAGTGAATGTTTACCGGCTCAGTTTGTTGCCATATTTTCAATAAGCGCTTACATATGTTGGCACACACGCAAGTTTATTAATATACGCTTATGTCGGGAACATAAGGTAAATTTTTTGTAGAATTGTGTATAACTATAGATTTGAATAGATATACAATAGATATCAGAGTTTATGTTGGTAGTTATGTTGGTAATAGGAGCGTGTTTGCTTTTGAGTTGTAGAATATATTCGTAATAATTTCACTTGTATTTTCAACTGAATTTGATTCTGATCCCAAACCCCAAGCGATTATGTATGTACAAAGTACTTGCAACCACGTCACAATCGCATGTGAAGAGTGATATTAATATACCTGTATATTCATGCTATGGCGCTAGAATATCTATATATTTATTATAATGGCTTTATGGATTTTAGTGCTGTATTCGCGTTTTTTAGTGTTAATCTAATATGTTTAATGTGGGCAAATTATTAATTATATTGTTTTAACATCTTTTATGAATTCATTGACTTATTATTTATTCGCTGAACATGGTATATTAAGTTTGCTACGAAGTTTGTTTTTCTCAATCGTCGGATATATCATATACAATATGTGTATATATATATATAAATGACGTAACTAAGTCGATTTATTGTTTTCCGTTTGTCTGTATATACGTTGCTAATCTCTCAGTTTTTGAGATATCGATCTGAAAATACACACTTCTTTTCTTCATCTTCACGAAGGCGTGGATAATTACTTTAGACAACGGTGCAGTATCCGAATAAATTGTTCAGATTGGACCACTATGGCATATAGCAGTCAGACAAACCTACCGATTGAAATAAAGTTCTTGTATGGAAGCTTTTTTATTTGTGAAGGATATTATAACTTCGGTAAAACTGAATTTATCGTTTTTCATGTTTACATGTTAGGAACGTTGACTTTGTTCAAGGAAAATATAATAATAAAGAGGCAATTTTAGTTTAAACAATTTTGATTAATTGAATATAGAAATGACAAAATATAGGGATATATAAAACTTTTTTTAAAACTGGTCTATATTTAAGATCAAAAAAATTTTATGCAAAGATTAATTTTTAATTTATTTATAAAATCTATTTTTCAATTTTATATCATTTATGAAATATATTATATATGCAAATGCGTCTCAGTCAATCTTAATGTATAAAGACAGATTGCTAAATAGGTATGTTTGTATATATGTATATACTTGTATATAAATACATATATTTTAAATACGCAGAGCTTAGTTTTGTTTTTTATGATCGTTTGGAATATTTTGCTTTCGAACGTCATCAAATTGCTGAACACAAAAACACCAAAAGCAATTTCTAATCTTATCATTCGTCAGAAACGAAACTGAACAGTTGCCTATATAGCGTTATAAATGTATACATATGTATGTATGCACGTATGTACATAATTGTGCGAACTCGTAATCAAAAGCTAGCTGCATCTAAAGGGTATGTTGATGGAGAGGGACAGCAGGTGTTAATGATTTCACAATTGCGCGCTATATCTTTCAGCTGCCTGAAATAGAATTTCATTTTCAGTCTTATCTTTGAAAGTACCGCATTTTGAATTCTATATATATACATACAGTTGTGTTCATGAAAATAGTAGTGCAACAGGGTCTTATATATAAAGATCTTTCCTAACATATACGGACTTGCTAAGTCAACAAGCGTGATTACTTTGGTAGAATATACACTTCAAATTAATAAAATATATACGAAAAATCCCGTTACTTTTGCTTCCACTGTCTTTTCTATGACGCATTTTTGCATTTTCTAAAAAACGAGTTGTTCATTAAAATAGTAGTGCTTGTCGTTAAGGGTCGATAAATTCAAAAATTATTAGCTAGTTGCGATAAGTAATTGTATTTAAGGAATTTGATAATTTTCTGAAGAAAGTTTTTTGAAATCCCAGTGCTCTCCCCTTTTTTAGTGAGTAAAGAAGATATTGTTCCTTGGAGAAGCGTGAATTGATGGTGAAGATAGACCCCGACATACCAAACAACATGAGAAAAAAGTATTTAATCTTATCGGTTACTACTCTTATAAATCGTAGGAAACTATTTGAAAACAAATTGAAAATAAAAAGCCCCATGATATGGGGTTGCTTTGCAGTGGACCTGAATCCAATATAAAATTTATAGGGAGATATTAAACGAGTTGTAGCAACCCAACTTTGGCCAGTGGTCAAGAAGGCATGGGATCAAATCCCTTTCGAGCGGATCTAATAACCCTATGCAAATATTAATTAATCGAAAACATTTGGTAAAATAAGCACTACCTTTTTCGTGAACAGACTAATTGCTATGTTTTTTTTTATAACAAATCTTGTTAGTAAAAAAATACCTACATATTGAAAAAATAAAACTGTTTATATACATACGTAGAAATAGCTAAAAATTACTTTTTAGAGCTATTAAATTCATAGTTGGTATTTTTAACTTAATTTTTTGTTTGTTTTATAATTAGTACCCACCCGCACTACTATTTTCATGAACACAGCTGTATATAAACGTGTATATACATATTTGTTGTATTTTTTTTTTATTTCTGTGTTTTTCATATTTGTACAGTAGAGCTACTCTGATCAATTGAATGAGTTAGTAGAACATGCATTGGTTTGAAGTACGCATATTACATACAGATATTTATTTACATATGTATGTATGTATATACAATCTAACGGACATTACTCGTGGATATATGTATTTTTGTGTGTTTTGCATTAAGTCAACGACAACACAAATTTAAGCTTGGTTTTAAATCGCAGATGTACATACCAAGGTTCATGTGCATTGTTATAAATGGGCAAGTATGTACAAATTGACGTTTGTGCATTCGTTTTGGTATTATTGCATACCGCTTGCCATATTTCATATTTCACTGATAAGACTTTTATTCTAATCCCACGTACATGTGCCCGCAGTATAAATACACGTGTGTATATTTTATAGCTACCTTCTTGAAATAGGTACAAAAGTAACTAAAAAATTCGGGACTGTTTACAACTCTGTTGCATACAATTTAGATACATATATACATATGTACGCACATTGCGTTTTTCCCTAATCGCTATATTCTCAGCAGTTGATAGAAAGTGATTAAGTGAAAGACTATCAAATACTAAGTGTTAACATATCTTAGATATTATAAATACTAAATACAACATTGGGAACTATTTAATACTTCTATACAAAATTTTATTCATGCACTAAAATATTACTTATGAACACTTCCACTTGCATCTACCTATTTTAACTTTTTGGGGTTATACATATGCTTAGGTTCATTGAGAATATAATCGAAGAAGGTTGAGATGTACATATATTAATTATGTTGTTGGTAACTGATTTATTTTGATTCATAACAAAGTATTTGAAAACAGAGGGATGAAAAATTAATTATGTTCGACACTGTAGAAATAACTAAGAAATAATTTAATACATGATTGTATACCATTAAACTTCAGCAGATTTACCAGCAGGAAACAGGAATAATATAAGCAAAACGGTAACTTCTGTTATAATGGCCCGATCTAAACAATATTTAGAGATGATAAGCATTCATTGTTTATGCCAAATTGCGTAAAGATATCTTGTCAAAAAAAAAAAAATTCCGTACAACCACTTGATTATGATAGGTTAGTTTGTGTGGCAGCTATAAGCTGCTGAGGGACTAGTTCGTGTACAAACAGATTGACCGGCTTAGTTAAATCGACTCGGTTCGTAACGCCGATAATTTTTATTCTTGTCCTTATGTATGTATATATTTAAAGGGTTCCTGACGTTTTCTTTTGTGTGTTACAACCTTTGTAGCAAATTTAATATACCGTGTTCAGGGTATAAAAATAATAAAGATAATAAAATGAGGATTATCAGACCAACAATGCGTTAGCTAAACTTATAGTTCAATAAGCAAAAAAATCCACATAAACAAAGAAATTGCAATATTCTATATATTTATTTTTTTTTAAGTTTTTTATTAAATGCTGACACAAAATTAAAAAATATCAATGAGTCCACTGTCAATCGTGTTTACTGTCAAAGCTATATACAAAATGTTTTTGAAAATAATTATACAAAAAATTATATTACAAAATCGCTCAACGCCTACCTACACCCATTAAAAGAAACTTCAGTTTTTAAAAGTATTTTTTCGTCAAAAAACTCACAATATGACTTTATTATAAAGTTTACAATGAAAGTCAGTTTATATTTGGCTGTCTACCACCTCTACAGTCCTGTTTTAGTTACAATGCTGCTACAATATAAAACAATTTTTTAATTTAATTAAATTCTTAAAAAAAAAAACATTTTTGTTTGTAGATAAAATGGATAACTCAACATGAATGAAATGAAGTTATTATGTATGAAGGACCCACATTTGTATTAAATTGTAATCGTTGTGCCAGTTGAAATATCTGAGAAGTAGTAAACAAATCTGCGTCCTATAATTTTACGCTTTACATAGCTGAAGGAAGTGCAAGATATAAACGATTGCGCTTACTTGGAAAACCGAAAAATTGCAATTCATCACATTTCTTTTTTAAGGTCAAAGTTTTATATTATTTATAAAGGTAAGTATTGCTGACATTACTAAAGTCTGGTATAATCAAAACATTTTGATTATGATATCATAATTTAATTTATTTCTTTCGTTCATATTATGCAGGAAGATTGTATTTAAAACACGAACATATTAACATAGACTTGGAAAACGAAAACGTAGTTTTAAATAAAAAAATACGGTAGTAACACACAATGGATAAAAATATGATGTTACCGAAGCGTTCACGCTTAGACGTGAAGGGCACATTCGCCAATGGTCCGTTGCAGGCACGTCCATTGGTTGCGTTGCTTGATGGACGTGACTGTTCAATTGAAATGCCTATACTGAAAGATGTGGCCACAGTGGCCTTCTGCGACGCACAAAGTACATCCGAGATTCATGAAAAGGTAAAATTCTAGTTAGATTAAGTAATTTGATCCCCATATAATATAAATTCAACCCGAAATAGGTTCTAAATGAAGCTGTCGGCGCACTCATGTGGCATACTATAATCCTTACAAAAGAGGATTTGGAAAAATTCAAAGCTTTACGTATTATAGTGCGGATTGGTAGCGGTACGGACAATATCGATGTGAAAGCAGCGGGTGAACTAGGTATTGCCGTTTGTAATGTACCGGGTTATGGTGTTGAGGAAGTAGCAGATACAACAATGTGTTTGATATTGAATTTGTATCGAAGGACCTATTGGCTGGCGAATATGGTGCGCGACGGCAAAAAATTCACCGGTCCTGAACAAGTTCGGGAAGCAGCGCATGTATGTAAAATTTGTTTAAAAGTAACAAGAAATTTTGAAATGAAATAAAATATTTTAAATTAATTACAGGGTTGCGCAAGGATTCGGGGAGATACCTTAGGACTTGTAGGACTTGGTCGTATTGGCAGCGCTGTCGCTTTGCGAGCAAAAGCATTTGGCTTTAATGTTATATTTTACGACCCCTACCTTCCGGATGGTATCGACAAATCGCTTGGCTTAACTCGTGTCTACACCCTACAAGATTTGCTGTTTCAATCGGATTGTGTGTCGTTGCATTGTACACTCAACGAACATAACCACCATTTAATTAACGAATTCACAATTAAACAGGTATGATAAAACTCCTTTCTTAAAAAATAAACCTAATATATTTATGCTTATCGTTGTTTTTTTTTTTGTTTTTTTTATTTGTTTGCTATTACAGATGCGACCTGGTGCATTTTTGGTAAACACAGCACGAGGCGGACTGGTCGATGACGAGACTTTGGCTCTGGCTCTGAAACAAGGCAGAATAAGAGCTGCAGCTTTAGATGTGCACGAAAACGAGCCCTACAATGTATTCCAAGTAAGCCTATAATTGCCAATTTATACATAACAAGATAATTTATTCTTAGTATGTATATTTGGCAATACAAACAATTACTAATAAATCTTTATTATTTGCAGGGAGCCCTTAAAGATGCTCCAAATCTTATATGTACACCACATGCAGCCTTCTTCAGCGATGCATCCGCAACCGAGTTGCGAGAAATGGCAGCAACGGAGATACGACGGGCAATAGTCGGCAATATTCCAGACGTCTTAAGGAATTGTGTTAATAAGGAATATTTCTTGCGAACACCAGCTGTGGCTGCTGCTGCTGCAGCTGCGGCAGTGTATTCAGAAGGTAAACTACAAATATTATCAAATCCAGAAAAGTGAAAGTAATATTTTAACCTAAACGTAACTTTAATAATTACCAACAAAACAAAAAGAGGAAATAGAAGAGAAACATTGCAAATTATAATAAGCGCGAAAACTGAATATAAAGCAAACAGGTTTAAATACAATTAAACTTGAATAAAAAACACCACAAAAATAGAGTTAAAATATAAATATTGAGTGTAATAAAACCTGCAAAATAAAAACAGATAATACAGTATATTGAAATATTTAAAAAGATGCAAAGAATATAAAACCACAAACACAAAAAACGTAAATCTTAATAAGGACTATTTAAGAATCTAATATAAATGCGAATATGCAAAAACGAAAAAAAAAGAAAAATGAAAAACAATTAGATTAGTGCATAGAATCACAATACCAACAACAAAGAAAAAACAAAATAATAATAACAATAAGCATATAGTAACAAGTCAAACAACAAAAGATATACAAATTCAATGCACATAATAGCGAGAGAGGAAAAGAAATGAATTTCTTCAAACAAATTTAAGTAGGTTTATAGCAGCGCATCAGTAGCGGAAACATATGCAGAGCATATACATACATATGTTTCAATTTCCTTAATAATAAAAAAAAACATCATGCAGTTGTACAATACATGAGCTTAATAATGTTTGTACATATGTACAATATGTACATAGGTGTATTTATGTCCATACTCATTTACCCTCCTTCATTAACATACGCGCTCTATATGTATACATACATACAGTTTAGAACATAAAAAAAATATATATATACATATATATTAAAAAATCAATCGCGACAATGAAGTTTGTAGCAAGAAATCCGATTCTGTCAGAACACACAAAAACATACACGACAGTTTGGTTAGACTACTCTTAATTTTCACAGTAGATTATTTGTTTTGACTTTTCAATGCGCAGTTTATTCAAAGATATTTTATGATTCTTATTATCGGCATTATGTAGTCTGACTGTTTTCATCATCTGGCATACTGATCTTCTGACCTTGTATTTATACGCATAAGGGCTTTTTCCAATTCCAGCATTTTTTATTATTCAATATGTACCATATGCATGAAAAGTGAAATTGTACGAATGTACGTGATTTTTATTTAAATTTTTCTAATTTCGCTAATTTGTATCACGACCTAACTGTTCGTATATATTTACTCGTTTATGTGCACATCAGATCAATGAATTTCGTTCGCTCCTCATCAAAGGCATTAACTTGTTAGTTGATCATTTTCTTTATATGTGTTTGATGTTCTTTATAAATTTGGTCGACAAATATTTCCTTAACATCCGCATAGTACACAAAACCTTAGTTTAAAAAGTTAGTGTTAAAAATATATGAATTTCAAAGAACACATTTTTGAGTTTTTGAAGAAAAAATTTTTTTTCTAATGAGCTGTTAAGCGTACCGTCCGTGTTAAATATTAGTGTTATCTGAATATAAATGTGTCGATATTACATTTTTGTACTCTGTTTTAGCGCCATTTTCTTTTCAATTCAATTGTGTTTTACTAAATTAATACTGTAATTTTTCCTCCTTTACGTTAGTTTATAGTTTTCGCATTTTCGTTAGTTCAAAGAGCAGACCAAAATAATTTTTGCTTCTTTCGACATATTTGTATATTACACTACGAAAAAAGCGAACCATAAAAATGATTTCAAACAAGATGGTAATGTTTCCTCTTCAAAGAATTCGTCAGTAAAGAAAAATGAATAATTTTTAAACAGCTAGCAAAATAGTTGACAGCATTTATGAAATTTCCTTGTGATATACATATATGCTACAAAATAATTAAAAGCTAATAATAAGCTTAAAACTAAACGACAACTACACATCAATACATAATTATACATCCACATGACACCCAACCGAATTCGAAATTTGGGTGCCTAATGGTAGTCTTTAAAATTTTAAGGTCGTTAAATGTAAACAGGACATAATGCTAAAGTATTTTGTGTGTTAATGGATGTTAATTGTAAGAGTGTGTCTTATTCATTATTGTAAAGCAAACAATTGTTTATAAATCTTAGAAGAGGAATGAAACAGTTATTTCTATATTTTGTAAGCAGTTGTACTATATCTGTGCACATAATGACTACTTAACATTTTACATTCATTTTATGTACATTTTATAATTAAAGCAAGCAAAAATTTACTGACTTTCAAAAATCAAATAAAACTGTAGTTGTTAGTATAACTATAACATCATTAACTAACTATTTTTACTTGAAAATAATATATATGCAAAAACATTAGTTTTTTTTTCTTGTAATTATAATTAAGCCTGGATGGTTTTAAGCTTTGTCTAAACAACTTTGCATAAGAAAAATGAAAATCTGCTCTTTAAATGATCTCATCATCCTTGGTTTTTTTCCAACTATCAATACATACATACATGTATGGTGTATATATCGAAAACGTATGTAATACAGCGAACAGTTCAAAATTGATTTGCCTAAATTCTTATATAAAAAACAAAAACAGTTGCAAGTTTGTATGCGAAACAATTAAGGTAAAAGTAAAAGTGTATATACCACAAACAAAACTATATATGGTAGGAAAGAATTGCGATCAAACCGTTGCTATAAACTGTTACACAGCTGATATTCTTCTTTAATACAACAACAACAATGACAAACAATAGATGCGCGGGATAAAACAAACAAATAATATGAATGAACATTAGCAACATGAAGGACGATGAGAAAAGATATAACAACATTTTTCAACATCTAACCTAACAAACTTAAAATATACTAAAACAGAATAGATTATGTACATTTAAAATACTTTAAATTTAATAATATTAATTTAGAGATACGATTATATAAAAGTAAAAATAAAGTAAATAATAAAGATATAAAATCGATTTATAAGTTCAGAAAAGAAAATAGTATGTAGTTTTATGATTAAAATATTAAAATGCTGAACAATGCAAACACAGAAACTCACGCAACTCTCTCGTGTGAAAATGTATGCGAACATTTCGTTTATTATTTTTCTCGCAGCTGCACTCGGTCACTGTGAAACCGCTGTGGGAAAGTGTGATGAACCTTAATTACAGTTAATTAAATTACACGAAATATAAAGTTCAGTTATTTTCCAAGCATATTAGCTGTTACATAAAGCAACTGCAACACAGAAAGGGTCAACGCATCACAGACCATTATTTAGTGTGAAATATTTTTACGCTTGCAACATACGCTTATGTATAAATGGAACTATGCGTGTGCGAATGCAGGATAATTACAAAGAAACTCATTTAGAAATCACATTAAATGCTTAAATGTCCTTCCGAATCCATTTCTGTAATAACCAACACAAAAATCGCAAGTGGTTAAGTAATATTGAAAGGAGACACTTTTCCACATTTGGCTTTCACCGTATTGATTCGCAGTCGGAATTGTTTTTAAATTAAATTCCATATATTTATGAAAAATAAATTGTAGCTTACAAAGTAGGGGTAATTTGCACAAATCGCCCGCAAATAATGCACGCAGGCGCAAGTTCAAAATCAAATATACAGTGAATGCTCAAAATACAACAGAATGATTTTGTCGCTTTGCCCTTAATTTACTTTAATACTTTCAGTAACATTAGACTCACTAAAAAGCTGTAAATTATTTAATATAAAGAACAAATTCTGGAATTGTAAGTGTTGTCAGCGAATCGTCGCCATTCGCCCAACTACAGCAACTTGCATACAACGACCGCAATCATCACCACTGCAATCACATCTACATCTACCGTTAATTGCAAAGGAATATGTATACTGAGCACCCACTCCCACATTGCAAATTCAAAAACAAAAACAAAAAAAAATATAATAAAAAAAACTAAAGCAAAAGAAATTATACATACATTAATATATTATAATAAGTATATGAGACACATAAAAGTATAAGTTTAAATAAGGAAGAGTAAAGATTGAAGTTAAAACAACAGATTAAAATGATCATAATTATGGTCAAGACAATGATGCAAAAGAAAGTAAAATGAGATGAAAACTGTTATTTTGTATTGTATAAATATTTTTAATAACTGTGAAAGCTAAATAAAATTAAACTTTTCCAGAGAAACAAAAAACAAAACAAAAATAAACTAAATTCTAAAAACAAACGCGATAAACTCTTTTCTTTAAGCATAACTTCTTGGATATACACAGTCAACATGGCTTCGAATTGTCGGCTTTTGTCGGTTGCATTTATTTTACGCAAACAAAGTAATACCATTGAGTTCTTTATGTTTTTAGAGTTATTTCCTTTTTTTTTGTTTTTGCGAAGACATTTGAAATTTTCTGGGATGATGGAATCATTAAGTAGAGCAAAATTTTGTATATATAAGTGAAAATTTTATGCACAAAAAAACTGTTATATAAAAGTTATATATATAAATTACAAAACCAAACCAAATCTAATGCTGCGAATGAAAGTCAGTAAATTTATTAAAGCTAAATATAAATCACTTAGGTTAAAAAATAGATTTACATACAAAACATATCGAATAGCAAGTACATAACTATATCGGCTTTAGGCGCAATATATGGAATTCCAATGAAAATGGAATTTCAGGATTGCAGCACAAGATGACAAATTCTTTTCTCACTCACTTACACTTACAGTTTGTTTTGTGCAGCATATTCGTTTCCATCATTCCCACGAATTTCAAAAAATAGTTACAGTTTCAAGTAAGGACTCATTTCACAGTGTGCTTGTATGGCTTGGAGAGTGGCGAATCGAACAAACAACTGGCATAAGCAAATAGCAATAGAATGGAAAGTATTTATTCTCATAGGAATAGAGGAGCTACCCTTCGAAGAGGGCTATGAATTAATTAATATAGGTTTTTATATATGAATTGATATGTATGTGAGGTAGTATGAATTTTCAACTCTGATATGCAATATGGTGCAATTTGAAGCGATTGGCATATTTTCATAATTTTGTTGTGTCTGTAATGCTGGGGGAATAACAAGTATTCTAAAGATACACTTATTTTTTTTAAAAGTCTTCTAGAATTTTTGTAATGTTTACTGATTTATAGCATAGTTTACTGATATATATAAATCATCAACGTGAAGAGCTGAGTCGATTTAGCCATGTCTTTCTGTCTGTGTATACGCGATCTGGTCCATCAGTTTTTGAGATATTGGTCTGAAATTTTGCACACGTCTTTTTCTCCTCAAAAAGCTACTTATTTGTCGGAACCGCCGATATCGGACCACTATAGCATATAGCTGCCATACAAACTGAACGATTAAAATTAAGTTCTTGTATGAAAAAGTTTTTTATTTGACAAAATCTCTTCACAAAATTTGGCATGTATTATTATCCAAAGCAATAATTGTTTATATCGGACAACTATAGAATATAGCTGCAATTCAAACTGACTGATCAAAATCAAGATAAAGATCTTTTTATACCCTTTTATGCAATAAGAAATGCCCGTGTGAAGGGTATTATAGCTTCGGTTTAGATGAAGTTAAAGCTTTGCGTTGATTTTATTTTTTGTTAATGAGTATAGCGGAGTTCGAATCCCTTCAAATAAACTTAATAAGGTATAGCTTATCAAGTAGTTGGGTATGCTTTTCAGCTGTTACATATACATAATTTTTGGTATTGTTAAGTAATTGGTTTTGATATACATATGTATATAGGATGACAGTTCTTTAAAGTTTACATTTTAAGTTTATTATACTCTCGCAAATTGTTGCTACAGAGTATAATAGTTTTGTTCACCTAATGGTTGTTTGTATCACCTAAAACTAATCGAGTTAGATATAGGGTTATGTATATATAAATGATCAGGATGAAGAGACGAGTTGAAATCCGGGTGACTGTCTGTCCGTCCGTCTGTGCAAGCTGTAACTTGAGTAAAAATTGAGATATCTTTTTGAAACTTGTTACACTAAACAAGCCAGAGACGTTAAATTTTATCTCTGGGATGGTATAAGATGATTTTATAGGAACCACGTTCAATGTTAGTAGTGGGCGTGGCACCGCCCACTTTTAGGTGAAAACCCATATCTTGGGATCTGCTTAACCGATTTAAACTAAATTCGGTATATAATATTCTTCTTATATTTCTATGTTATAGTACGAAAATGGGCGAAATCGGATTACAACCACGCCTATTTCCTATATAACATCATTTTAAATTCCATCTGATTTTTTCGCTTTCCAGTATGCAAATCAAGCAACAATGATTATATCGGCGTAAAACTTTGCGTGAATAATACGTTTAAAGTATGTGCCACCTTGTGACCAAAAATTATCTAAATTGAATCAAAACTGTTCAAGCCCCTAGGTACTGAATATGTGGACTCCAGTGCCTATAGTTGACTTTTAACCGAAAATATCGGTCAACATAGAAAACGGCGGCAAGGTCCACAAAGAAATCTAAAACGAGTATACCATTTGACTTTGCGAGAGTATAAAATGTTCGGTTACATCCGAACTTAGCTGTTCCCTACTTGTTTTAATTTTTATTTTTATTGATTTAAAATCGTTTCTGCAGCATTGAAACACAATTTTTATCGTGGTGTAACTATAGTATTAAACAGCAATAGGAAATGTATAAATATAATACTTATTATGATGTTAGCCATAAGGCCAAGACGCGAAGATGGATCTACAGGTATGATTGGGTTTCCATCTAAACATAGACTGTCACCAAAACAGCCATTCATATTAAAGCTTTGGAAATAGTGTACTATGCTATTACAAGCACAACAACAACAGCAATGACATAAAAATATAGATACTAATTATTATTGAATAAACCCTTTAAACGCCGAAATTATTACCATTGGGTTATAGAACTGTTTGCATATCTTTGTATAATCGTGTGCTCACGTGAATGAATGTTTATATGATAATCTATTTCTCATTAATACATTTTTGAACAAAATAGATAGCAGGAAATTTTATAAAATTAACTTCAAATTAATTCGAATAGACACCAAAACGTACTTACATACATACTTGTATGTATGAACTTTCAATGAGTAAATTGTATATGCATTAGCCAAAAAAAAAACCAACCACGACTGCATTTAGATAGTAGAAATAAAATTGTAGTTCTTATAGTCCTGATGCAAGTATTTCAATATTAACGATGTTACTATGCTATGTGCTACATATATGTATACAAACAAACAGGATTAAATGGCGGATATTATGCAACGAGCGGACTGCAACAGGCCCACAGTACCACACATGACGTAGCGCACAGTGCAGCTGGCAGTGCACTTATCGTTCCACCGCCGCCGTCGGTAGTGAATCCGTCGCCAGTTCCTACGGTGCCGTCGGTGCATATACCACCGCAGGTTGGATTACAGCATGGACTTGTGAGTAGTAAATCGGTAGGTATAGATACATGTGTGTTGCTGTTGTTGTTGTTATTGCTGTTAATTGTATGTTGTTGTTGTTAGTGTTAGCATCATTATCGAATAAACGCTCTGGCTTTCCAGCCCAACATATCGGCATACTCACTTAGTCTATCCATATATATGGATGTTGATTTCATATATACGCATGCATATGCATATGGAAGCGAACTCAAGTAATGGATTAATTCATACTGTATTTGTATCATTTGAGCATTTTTCAATTGCTGTGCTTTCTATAGGTTTTTAGACAATGGCAGTTTGTTGTATGTATAACTAGTAAAAGTTGTTTAAATTTGTTGTTATCACCAGCTCGTTGATGCATTGTTAGCTGATATACTTAGCTGTTGTTAGTATTCATTTGGTTGATCGATTATGTAATATTATTTTTAAATTTCTAATTGAAGTATTTAGCTCTCTGTAAATATGTATGTGCGTGTATTTTTATGTGTTTTGAAATGTGTGTGTCGAATGCAATAAATAATACATATTTCTTGATATCTCGCTTTTGTTGAAAATGTTGATAATTTATAATTGACACATTTAATTATAATTGATTGACACATTGACAAACCTATTAAATTAATTAAAATTTTAAACCGAATAATTATTCGTATTTTTTTTAAATTTAGTTAAATGTACTAAATTAATAATTAATTTTTTTTTAAATTTGCATTTCATAATTTAAAGATGTTCAAATTGAGTTTGAAAATTTGTGATTTCTGACGAATTCTTGCTTGTATTGATGATTTTAAATGCCAAAAATATGTCTTACTAGTATAAAATTTTTTTTTTAAATTATTCAATATTATTACTAATTCACAAGTGAACTATCGTATTTGATTAGTTATATTCAAAATATTACAGCATTTTCCATTTAATGACATTTCTTGAAAATTATTTGGTTTTTTAATGTTTGGAGGCATCCATACAAAGTATTATTGGCTATAGTAATTTTTATAATAAAGTATGTTTGTTTTTTCCTTTAATATAGCTCTACAGGGTAGCAAATAATGCACTAAAAATAATTGAATTAAAATTTTTTATTTTGTAATCCCGAAAATTTAGAATAAACTCTTTAGTAATATTTTGTTTTATGTGCTTTAGCTAATAAAAAGCATTTACTATTGCTTAAGTCTTCATTATACATTATGAATAGAAAATTTGTTAATATCCATTTCCAAAGGCCCAAATTTTTGAAACCCTCGCTACGAAAAAAAAATGGCATTCTTCGGAAATTAAAACTTCCCTAAGTATTTGGAGTAAATCAATTATGCTCACGCCTTTTAAATTGCAATAATAATTTTCACTCTTTATGTTTAATGACTATTTTAAATAATAAATAAATATTATTTTAAAAAGTTATTAGTTCAAAAAATATGTATTTCTTTAAATTTTCGTAAATTACTGGCAACTTGTTGAAAATAATACGAGTGTAGGGTACTAAAAGAATAGCAAAATAAAATTAACAAATAAATGATTATGCTACAATAAATAAAAAACTCATATTTGATGTATTATATTTGAGAGAAACTCTAGAAGACCGTTTTGTCAAAAATATAATATGATATAACTAATTAGGCTTTGCTTTCTATCGAACTTGAAAGCTCATCTATTAAATTTTCAACAGTAAAAAGAAATTATTTAAATTATTTTAGCATTTTAATTTCTTCACTGACATCATTTGTTGCATTGTATTTTATGGTGTATTTGAATTTATCAATTATATTAATAACATTTAAAAATCCAAAGATATAAAACTTCTTCTTCTCTCTCTTTTTGTAGCCCCTGAATGCACCAGACCCTAATAACCATCTTTCGTCTGCTTCTAACAAACCAGAGCCATCAGAGGTCCAATAGTTCAAATGCGCCAAGAATTGTGAGTGGACTCAGTAAGCTAATATAAATAAAAATAACACCTACAACAAGCAAGCGCAAATTGACCTGAAAATAATTTAAACGCAACTTCATTCAATGCAAATGCAAACCATTAATTGCCACAACAAATTTTCAAACAGAAATATTTTATGAACACCGGCCAGCAGAAAGCAGTCTAGACGTGATGTAAAATTTTAAACCAAGAAGCAAATATTTTAAGATTGATTATGGCATAATTATACATAGGTAACAAAGCGTTCTGGCCGATGATATGCCGTTATTACGTAACGCGAACGCTTTGACCCAAACTTAGCACTTAGTACGCAGATACAGGCAGCTTATTGAAATAATTACATAATTTAAATGAAAAGATGCGGAAAACAGCAAAAAAAAAAGAAACGCTGACAATTTTAACTTAATCCGTCACAACATTTGGTTAAAATTTTAAAGCTTAAAAATGTATTCGCGTCTGTAAGTGAAAAAACAAAATATATGAGTATATTTCTTTGTAGGAATATACTACACTTTAAACACGCTTATTCGCTCTACAATACTTAAAAACATGTTCAAACAAATACAAATTAATTGAATAATTCAGAGTGAAGTACAACTAAATATAAACACGATGTATAAGTATCAAGCTCATTATAAATGTTTAGTTAATCAAAAAAGTTTTCTTACATAATAATACTCCTTTAGATTTGCAATTAAGTTAAGTTACTTATCAAATTCAGTTAAATAGTTTTATCTACATTGATTTAAAAAGTATATGTACAATGTGCGAGAGCAGATTGCATTACCAACGAGTAGATGTTACAAAATAGGTTTCTATAGGCTTCAAATAACACGCTAAAAATATTTAAATAAATAAAAATTCTGATTTCTTTCCGAGTGGTGCTTAAACGTTTGCTAAGAAATGCGGACGGCAGTTGGTTACACTGCAGTGACGCTCTACAAATGCGCATTGCACATATTCCTTTAAATATTCAAATAATAACTAATCGTTAACAGCATTGCTCCTCATCGGAGTGTGCACAATAACAATACAACGAATTTTTTGTACTTTTTATCATAATTTTGGCTATATAAGTATATGTATCCCACCTAATTGGCCTCAAATGGAAATAAATGATTAGTGTCTATGACGTGAATAAATATATCATTTGCAAAAAGAGTAGTTCTTCTAAGTTGATTTTTTATTAATATATTAGCTGTTTTAAAACCCCCTTATCTTTTAACATTTTTGTAGCTTTTAGGGTGTTCCAAAAGCTCACTGTTTTAGCGTCACCAAGCTGTATTTCCTTATATAACCATTCTTAACTCACATTTAAGCTATAATTTCTATTAGAAAAGACAAATACAACAATTAAACCTACTGCCGTCTGGTTAATGCAACTTAACGCTTTCTGTGCGCTCACTCAATTGTTAATTTGTCCACACAATTCGTAACGACACTTTTTTCAACATATAAATTGCAATAAAATATTTGAAAATAGCTTAAAACACATAAAATTAATGAAAAAAAAGTATATTTAATTGTCGTATGCGTTATTATCAACTATTGGCACCGTTTCCTTATGATTTGCATTATCATATGTGTATTTATGGCAATAATGGCAAACTTCCATTATATCCTTAATTTTGTTTTTTTCATTTATTCCGTTGAATTTATAATTTTGAACTATCTATCGTCTTGCAATACGAGATTCACAAAGCAATACACGGATAGTTCGATTCTGGTATTGTATCTATAAATATGTAGATTTAATTTTAAGTACTCATACAGCATATGAACAGGCAAGTCAAACACAATACATACAACACTGGAACATACACGCATACATATAGACATCATTGTTTAATTTGATTTACAAATATAAAATGAATTATTGTACGAGCGTAAGTCACCTTAATACTATAATACCTACTATAAAAATAATTGTTTTTATTTTTATTTTTGGTAAATTTCTATGTTTAAAATACAAATTAAAATTTTTAACTATAAAATCAATTTAAAAATTCTGGTAGAATTAAGGTATTGATAATTACAAATAAAAATGCAAACAATTAATTTCTTCGAAGTCTATCAATTACTTAGTAAAAAGGGGTGTATGTAACATATATATATAAGTACTAATATTTTTAAATAACTACATTGGTGTGTCCTCAAAGTATTATAGATGATTTTTTTGAACGCATACCATCTTAAATTGTTTGAATCATGTTCAAACAATGTCGATAGGATTACGATAATCCATGCGGATTTGCGTCGAAACTTCTCAATTCGCTTACTATAGCCGACTGACTTGACCTACCTACCGATATGCATGTTATAATTAATGTTTCTTATACGTTAAACACATAATTTTCGTTCGATCAACATGTCAACTTCAATTACGTATCTCAAGATAAATATATATTTAATAAGTGCTGCAAAACATCAAAAAAGGTATCAAAACTTCCTTCTGATAGACAAATTTTAGTAGTGTTATTCTACAAGATTCGTCAAGTGAACTAACTGTAAATGAAAATCTTAGTATGCGCGAGTGCATTATATATACGGAATAAGCTCGTATTACTACAAAATCTTTTCCTTATAGTGCAAAGAAACTTGTGAATTTAAGTATATCAAGTTTAAAAGGATTTTGCAAAGCAGGGTAAATTTGATGGAGTGGTAAAAAAAAGGATCAGTAAAGAGGTCAGTCCGCGCCTGAGAACTATTGACAAAGGGGAGCGACGATATAAATATATCGCAGAGTCAACCGTACCGACATCATCATATGGTCCTATACAAGAAGACTCATCTAATTCAAACGTAGACATAATATCGTGGCAGGAAGATTGGTCAACTTTAACCTAAGTTGTGCTGAAACTCACAGAATCAATATGGAAAAACGTCATCCAAAATTAGCAGCGCTAGACATGTGTCCCTAACACAACACAACAAGCCAAGTGGATAGCGAGGGCAATTTATGCACTGAACATAGAATTTGTGAGCCCTCAAAGGTAAGGCGACACTGTTTGATATTAGATTGTTCATCGTGACATTCTTCGTTAAGCCCTGGTTCCAATGTATTTTGGCTGTAAAAGCATTATCCTTCATCAGCACTTGTGCCTTAGCAAGTCAATGAAGACTTATGAAAAATTCTATGCAAAGGTCCCGAAAGTTGCTTTACTCTTAATCGATGAGAAAGCTGTCGCATCATTATTTGATGATGACGAAGACCAAGAAATTAAAACAAAAATGTTTGAAAGTTTAGTCAAAGAGAATCCGACAATCCGACACATGGTCACTACAGCCAAATAACTATGAAAAGAAGAAGTTTTCAGTGTTGAGAGCAAACAATTCTTAAAAAGAGAATTTGAAAAATAATGTGTTAATAGTAATATGCTTTGGGTACATTCGAGTTATATATTATATATACAATATATATGTATTATATTCGGATTCAGGTTGGCATGTTAGGCATGTTTTAACCTGGCCTAAAAATTTGACTTTGTATTCATATTTTGGCTAGATTCAGTTGATTAGAATCTAGAATGTTATGAAATCCTCAACTTCGTACAATTTTAACCATGAGTCACTCCACACCACAATTTTGAAAATATACACGAGTTTGACGGTGTTATTAAGTAAAACTTTGGGGAAGAAAATCCATTCGAAATCCATGAGCCATCCCAAATCGTTTGTGCCAATACCATAATTAATAAAAAAAATTGTATAAAAGAAATTTTCTTGATCGCGAAAACCAATAAAGTTCTGATTTAAACATTAAACCAATAATATCAGAAAACCTTACATCTAATACAAGTTTTTAACGGTTTCAATTCTTATTTCGAACCCTACACGATTCCGAAACACCAATTTTTGCAAACAGAACAAAATATTCGAAGGAAATAGTGAGATTGAGCTGAGCTGTCATTGGCTGATAAAACCTTTGATTTTTTATTGTAGTGTGGTTTGAAAAGTGTACGTCAGCAATTTTCGGATCACTGACGAGTTGAAGGCGAACATTTCTTATGCTCTTACAACAAAGGCATTCTAATTCAAGATATGATGTTATTCTGTTCAGCAGCCCTCAAAAGACATTCTCACACTGCGGGAAAGTAGTCGGTGCCGGTTGATGACGATTTGAGGGTTTTTTTATAGGTCAGCAATTTTTATTATTATCCTGGTTACACTTAGTCAGATTTCAACGTAGTTATCGGGTCTATTATTATTATTATTTCATTTGCGTCTTTTTCAGCACATTTTTTTTTCTGCTCAAATATATCGAGTTTTGTTCCTGACATAGTACTTTTGGGGGAGTTCTTCTTCATTATTTTAATATTAAGTAAACCTCAGCCCTAGGGCACAATAGACCCCAGGTCACGGTGCATACCTCATTTCCATTATATTCTAAACCTCAGCTGAAAGTCATAGCATTTTGGTGGAAGTTTATGGTTAACATGCTCTTGCTGAGCGATCTTGCCAAAAGTAGTTTTCATGATTTGAAAGTGGTGATTTTTGCTTGGAACACGTTACTCGAAGAAGACCAGTCATTTCAAAAGCATCGGGATATATTTAAAAGCAAGGAAATTGGGTGCCATACGAATTGAAGCCAAGAGACGTCAGAAATGCTAAATTTACGCTAAAGATGCATTTTTTGCTTCAGATTGTCACTGATGAAGAAAAATGAGCTTCTAAAACTGGGTGAAACCATTAATGGGGAATGTTACCGACAAAAATTTATCAAATTGAATTGAGCGATTGTCGAAAAACGTTCGAAATTCCCGACTAGACACGAGGCATCATTTTCCATCATGACAACGCTCGGCCCCACGTTGAAAGACCGGTTAAAAACTATTTGGAAAACAGTGACTGACAACGACTTTAGAGCCCAGACTTTTCCCTTTCCAACTAGCACTTGTTCGGGTCGAGGCAGAACACCTTCACTGGAATACGGTTCACATCAAAACAGGTTATCAAAAATTGGCTTGATTCATTCTTAACCGCCAAGCTGACACAGTTCTTTTGGGATGGAATCCAAAAATTGCCAGAAAGATGAAAAACTGTTATAGCTTTAGATAGATAATACTATTGTACGTTTTTCTTAAATAAACGTTAAGTTGTTTGCTTTTACTCTTTACAACCCTAATATTAAAATTATTAGAGATATTCTTTTTGACGTTACACAAACAACAACACCTCGACCATAAATTGGTCCAAGTCCTTAAGATCAAATTTAAATTAACTCTATATGAATACGATACCTCCACACATGTAAATTTAATTGAAACAATGTTAGAGTGCATATTTAATACATCACATTTATTATTTACATTGCTCATCGTGATTTTCTTTCACGTGTGAACGTTTAAAAATTACTATTTTTTCTTTATTACAATTATCTTTTTTTATTTGCTAATTCGCAACTTCAGTTGGCGTCACAAGCTGAAAGAAAATAGAAAAATAAAATTCTTGCACATACATAGATATTTTATTTAGTACATATGTACATATTATGTAAATATGTATATAGGGCAATGTGAATAATTTGGTGCAGGTGTTCTTCATAGAACGTGCTACACTCTCTTCTCACGAGCATAAGCAATGGCTCGTAAAATGTTGGTATTTTCAAAACTATTTCATTTATTTAATCACCCAATGTTGCACACACACATGTGTGCATGTGCATAATCATGAATGCTCACAGTAATTCAAATAATTTGTTTTGTATTTCCGTGTCTTTATGGTTAGCGGGTGCATGTAGTGGTGGTAGAACCGGAACTGACTCTGATATATGACTGTATGTTCCTTACTTAAATTTGAATGTGGATAAGCCACGGACACAAAGAAATGAAAGCAGTGTTTAATCTATGTAAGTTTCTTTTTTATGATGTATTTCAATGTATGTATGTATTTTACTCGCATTCTAGTTTTATTTTTATCATTATTGTATATATGTATATGCTATTTTGCAACTTTGTGTTTTCGCATTTTCAAATGTGACAAAACTTTCGTTTATTTTTACTTTTTATTTTATTATTTTTTCTTCGCTTGCTTTTTATTACTTGTGTATAAATTGCATTTGCGAAAAACAGTTGCATGCCATTCTATGAATGACCGACCGACCGACCGACGAGCTGCCACTACACGACAATGTAAACTGGTGCAGAAAAATTTCTTTGACATCTTGACGTTTTACTTAAATTGACAATTTAAGACTCTTAACGGTTATAGTAAACATAAACAACATGTTGTCATGTGTGTATGTGTGTGTGTTTGTGTATTTGTATATATATATATATTTATATGTATTCATATGTTCGAGCTTGTATTGCAATATGTTCACTTGTGTGCAGTTTTGTTAGAATAGATATTGGGCGACTGCATTTACCACCAACCATTAGCCGTCGTTGTGGTAGCAGCATTACTCGGAATACCGGCAGCACCCACACTGCTACCGCCAGTATTGTTCCCACCACTGCCGCCGCCACCATTTCCATTTATATGGCCGCCGCATTGCTCATCTGCGGCTGCTGATATTTGTAAAGTACTGATATTTTGCACAAAACTGTCCATGGCCGCTTCGTCTAGGTATGGAGAAGCGCATTGCGCATGCGGGCTGTGTGAACTCTTCTTGATTAGCAGTTCGTTTAGGTCGAGTATTGCATTTTGTTGTTGTTGCTGCTGCTGTTGCTGACTCTCATATTCATAATTATAACGTTGATAGGATTCAACATCAGATTCGGCACCAGCACTGCCCGCGTCGAGTTCATTCAAGTTAACGAGATTATTTGTTGCAAACATGCCAGCATCTGGAAAAAAATGGAGAATATTTTAATTATAATGCATATATGTCTCAATTGCAAATATATAAAATAGTATGGATGAGCTTAGTAATTTTTAGATTAACCTAAACTATTTAATAATACTTTGAGCTTCCAAATAACATC